AGCAGCCTCCATGTCTCCAGTGTCTTTTTCCCCACTTGGAGCCAAACCCAGAAGGACATTTCTTTCATCATAACCTTGTGAGAAAAACTTATGCTAGACATTAATCCTTGTGGAATCCAGAGTTAGCAGATTTGGACCACTTCTATAAATCAGTTATTTGGGTGTAGTCTAGCACATTCAGGAAATAACAATTAAGCTCCTTCTTCACCTTCTTCAAGTAATATGTTAAACAAAGTCTGAATTTTCCCTTGTGATGGCATGCCAGAAAATAACTACTTAAATGGAACCGGCTAACTGGAAATAATTTGCTGTCTTTAAAAGTACATGTAATATTTAATTTATAACTGCAACTTTGTTGTCCACTTAGGACTTATTTAAGTTCTTTCAGAATAGATTCCAGTTTCAGATCACTGAATAAGCTTTAATAACATAGAAACAAAAATACGAAATGAAAGTCTACACTTCTTCCTTATTGCTTTTTGGCAGACAAAAACAGTTACGTGGACATTCAACTGCTGAAACCTTTAATTTACAGTTTACTTAAAGTTGCATCATTACGACTTCCTTTACCACGAACAACTTCTACTAAAATCCAACTGTTCTGCGCCCAAGAAAGCACTTAATTAAAACTTCAATTCCCAGCAAGCAGTGCGGGACATAGACTTTCCTAAATGCTTCCAACAAGGAGAAGAGCCCGGAAGAGTCCCAGGATGCCATGCGATGGAATGCTCTGCCTTTCCTATTTTCTAACAGGCAACGTCGTTCCTATAGTTCAGGGCTTCGTTGCGTCCAAACTTCATATCCCGGCAGGCTTTGCGACCATGAGCTGCCGGTTTCCGGAGGCAGAACCGAGTTTGTCTCTCTGTGCCGTTGGCGAAGCTGGGGAGGTGGCAAGGCTAGACGGGCCTGGCCTGGCGGTGCCGTGGCTGACGAGAGGCTAGTTGGGCTCCGAGGGGGAAAAGAAGAAGTCTGGGGGATTAAGAGAAGACTAGACCGGGAGAAGGCCCCTCGGCGGAGCCACCGCCACGATGCTCAATATGTGGAAAGTCCGGGAGCTGGTGGACAAGGCGTGAGTATTATAGGGTGCCTGGTAAAGATCTGTAGATCTCTTCTAGGCTTCCCCATCCCTCTCAGTCAAACCATCCAGATTTATGGCTATGATTCGTTTATTTTCTCTTCCACCGCAGTTTCTTTCTCTCTCTGGCCATGGGTTCAGGTGCCCCATCCCCTCACCCACCAGACGATCCCACCCCCGTCTAATGCTTCCTGCTAGATCCTAGCCAAGATGCCATCCAGGTTGGCTCTTCTCTTTGGATTGCCTCTTCCGGCGCCTTTACAGCTTAGAAGCCGTCACAGAAACTTCTTTCTTTTCACCTGCTGTAACTGATATTTTACCTGTTGGCGCTCTGGAGACCTGGCCTTTGGTTGTGGTGTGAGGTTTTCAACCATCTCCACCTTCCTAATCCAATTTGATTGCCCCATATTAACTGACTTCAGCAATGCCCCACTTACAGAGGGGTGGTTGGCTTGGATTCCCAAGGTTTATCAATCTGTACCAGACTGTACCCACTACACACACGCTGTTTGGGTAGTTGCCTCTGGCTGATCCTGAGTGTTTCCTTCCCAGGGAGGAATCTTGTTTAGCATAATTGTTTCTTATCTTGCCAGTTCCCTACCCCCGCCCAGTACACTCATAGTCCTTCATGGGGAGTGTGTGTTGAGTTGCTGGCAAGGCATAACTTTGCATAGAACGGTGCCAGTTCATAAAGGGATTGGAAGCGTTCAAAGGTTTACAGAAATTCACCTTTGGCTTCCATATCTAACATGGTCTCCTACCTTGCTATTCTGCTAAGCCTGCTCAAAAATGTAGGAGGAGGGGAAAAAAGGATAGTGAGAGCGGAAGTAAAATAACTTGCTGTCTTTGACAAAGGTGTGGTGGTTGCTATGTGTAAGAGGTACATTAATGGCGTATTGCATTTCTGTAACAACCTGTGTGATTCTAACATAGCTGTCACAATAATGCTGGTATCTGCCAGTAATATGCAGGCTGAATAAATTCAGTAATTTTCTACTTTTGCTTAACGGTAGGAAATAATACTTTCATTAATGGCCTTATCGCCTAGAATGAAATTGTTTCTTGAAACATGATTAATTAAATCAGTTTTCAAGATCAGTAACTCTCATAAATTTTGCATTATTACTTGACTGCTGGTTAAAGGATATGTTAAATTGTTCCTGCTACCAGCACCTTGAATAATAAATAAGTGCATTGCCCAAGTTTGACTTACTTTTGTAAAGTAAGAAGCAAAGGAATCCTTTAGGAACTTTTTGAATAAATTTTGTTGTCTTTATCTGAACAAGCTAAATTTACACAAAGTACTTGTTTAATGGTTCTTGAGAAATGACATGTACAGAATAGTGGATGCATCTTCTAATCTTTGCTTACAGTTGAGTTAGGAAGAAAATGAATTCAATCAGAACTGTGTGTTTCACAAAATAGTTCACTGATGAATTGGATTTAATACCAATTCTTTAAGAAGTGAGACAGTTAGGTGAATTTTGCCCCATTTTAC